ATATTTACCATTTCCAACCTCAACTTGGTCCTCAGTGCGGCTTGACAATCCTCCATTTGTCTCTGTTCGGATATTTTTCCCATTCACTAACGCGACCGTCTAACCTTTCTGTACTCCTCCTCAGCTTCCACTTTCACATCCAGGAGAAAAAAGCACTTACCACGCCCCAGAAAACAAAACGAATACTCTTGGTAATTAATTTATTCAGGCTTCCTCCTCTGACTACAATGCTATGTGTATTAACACACATCCTCACCCACCACATTCCTACCCTGAGCTTAAGATTCGTATATCAACTGCCTTCTCAAAAACTCCTCCCAGGTGTTGAAAATGTATCTCAGATTCAACAGATCTCACATTAAATTCCTTATCTTGCCATACATCCGCATTCCTTTCTAGCAATGCTTTCCTTCTGTAATAGCACCATCATCTACGCGGCTTCTCCCTCCTGCTTCGCATCCCCTCCCCCACGGCCTTGGCTCAGGCCTTCATTAAACTGCTTGGGACTTGTGCTGAGTCAGTTACGGACACCTCGTTTTCAGACTTGCCCTCGCTCATTCTGTGTTCACAAAAGTCTCTCCACAGATTGGCTCCATCCTATCCTTGCCTGCCTTATTGCTGTCACTCCTTTCATTTACCCATCATCCCAAATTTCTTTCCACTCACTAAATAAACATCCCATACTTGGTCATGACTGAGTTTTGCAGATGCTATTTTATCATTCTCTACTATCTCTGTTGCTGCAACTTCTACATATTTTCAAAGTGCAACTTAAATGTGATTTGCTCACTGAAGCTCCACCCTAAACCGGCTACCACCATAGATGAAGACAGCAAATCCTTCCTCTTTAGGGTCTTAGTACACTACAGACTCTACTTACTGCACTCTTTATATTTTGCTACAGTTATGTGTGTAATCTGTTTCTGCCACTATATTCTAAGAGTTGAAGGAATGGACCATGTGTTATTAGCCTATGTCTCTCCAATTTCTTGAATGGTCCCTACCTCACGGTAGATATTCAATAAATATTTGTGGAATTAACTGAAGCAGCAAAGCAATTAAGTAAAGTTATATTGTTTTTTTCTTGAGAAACACATGCTGACTCCTAATGATTATGACAGTGTTTCTTAAATGCTTGAAAATAATCTGCTTAACAGTTTTTGCTGCCTCCTTCAAAACAGATAGGAATGTGTCAGTGGTTGAGACCACTACTCAAAATGTGAAACAAAACCTAGGGCTAAATCTATCATTTTCCTAAGTAAGGAAGAACGATGCTAGCAGACACAATCCCATTTGAGCAAAACAAACAGTTGCTGTGGTGTAGGTTTGGAGAGAAGAGTTTGCTTTGAGATGTGTTGGTTACAGAGGCAAGACTATGGGGACATCAGTCTTAGAAACATGTTTTGTGTTGGATACCAAAGTGCATTTTGTATTGATAGCAGATGTAGAATGGGTTGGTGTCGACCTTGGGAATTCAGTGTTCCTAAATTCCTTGGTGTTCAGTGGGGTGAGTCTCCCGCTGACTGGCTGACTTTCAAGGCATGAGGCTCTCACTGACTGGTTGGCTTTCACAAGTGTAGTCACTGAAGCAAGCTCTCATTGATTGATTAGGAAAATTTAAAATAAGTTTTGGTGATTTCTTACAACCATGGCTACAGAATGGTCAATGATTGATTAATCAGACAAATGTAAAACCATTTCAGGTGGATATTTTTGTGATGGCTGTAGAGCAACCAGTGTTTTACTAGGAGTGTGAGGGCTTTTATTGTCGTCAAATATTATCTCTTACACTGATTTCTTACCTAAGGTCATGAACTTTAGATTTATACATTCCAGTCCCACAACATCATAAATACCTGCATGCCTTATTCCCATGACCAGTTGATTAGATACAGGAAATAGAAGATAATCCAGGAATGTCACAAATGCCACTGCTTGGTGTCACACAGTCTCCCCTGGAGGGTTGACCTTTTGCTTAGGGGGACAAGTCAATGAAGACATTAATGTAAAGAATTCTCTGATTTGGGGACTGTCCATAAGGCTGCTCTTTCTTTTCAGGCTCATTAAGTAATGTCACATGATCCTTGAGGGCTATAGCGCGAGAACTCACGTCTACTGAACCAGCTCTTTCAAAAGTTATTCCAAATGAACCACAGAGAACAGAAAAGATAAGTGAGCCAACACATATTTAGCGTATGCTAATCACTTTTCATATGTTATCAATTAATCTCCAAAACCACCAAGTAAAATAGATGTTCTTATGCTCATTTCTATGAAAAGATTGGAGCTTAAAGGGGCTGGGTAAATTTTTCAACGTCATGAAGTTTGGAAGTGACAAAATCATAATCTGAATCCAGGTCGGTCTATTTCGATAGCCAAAGATTTTCTCCCTGTGCCATACTCTCTTCCCCAAGGAGCAATGGAACACCTCCACTTTGAAGAAATCAGTGCAGTGACCGCACGCAATGGAATTTGGGGAAGACCTCTGGTAGTGTTCCTGACCTGGAAAACTAGTTATGTTAAAATTTATAATACTGCTGAGCCCCCTCCTTCTTGGCTGGATTTTTTTATGGTTACTCACGAAACAAAAATTCAAATATTCTTACGTTCTAGAAAGTTACCCAGTGGTCATATTCCTGCTATTCTCACACAGACATTCGCTGTACAGAGAGCCACACTACAAGAGAGCGTGGTATGGTTAGGTTCTAGCGAGTATCTATACATGGCTACTTCAACACACTCACATTAGAAAGGAGACTATGCAACCCAGAAATTCCATCTCTGTCTACATCATGCATTTTTTTCAAAGATGACTGAAATAAACACACAAAGATCCATAAAATATATCAAAATATGAAAAAATATATCTAGCTTACATTTATCGAGGTTTTCTGGAAGTCATATGTGGTACTAAGCACTACCTTAGAACAAGGATAGGAACGTAAAAATGGGGAGAAGAATGCAGTTAATAATTTATTTTTTAAATGCATGTCATAAAGTCCTGTTGACTAACTTTGGACAGATCACAAATTTGACTATAATTATTTTAAATTATGTTTGAGAACAAAGATTTTGTGTTGCTTTTAATAACACAACTGTAGTTCAGATTGACTTTTTAATTTCCAAAGAGAGAGGTGAAACTATGACAGTACAGTTTAGTATATACAAGTTGAAAATCAAATCAGATTATCAAAAGAAACACAACTCTTTCTTGATACTAAGCCAATAAACTAATTTCTTTCATGACTGTTCAGAGATTTACCATTGAGCAATGGCCTTAAAAGTGACCTGATGGAAGACACAATATCTACTCTCATTAAATTGTTTTTCATAGCATCTGCTGGGTGTCCACGTACCTTTAGTAGTTCAACGTAGTTCTGTTGACAATAAGTGACAAACATTGCACAGCATATTCAATATATTAAACAAAGATTCTACTTTTTAAAATTAATTATTTATTTAATTTGTAATAGGTAATATTATAGCACAAAACACAAAGAACAGGGTGAAAGGCTCTCCTGGCCTTGTCCAGCACCCCAGTTCCCAATGGAAGGGAAGTAATATTTAATACTGTAATTCAAGAAAAGTTCTCTGAAATAAAGGAAAACCTGGATCTGAATACTGAATAGGCCCATCTTTTATCTCAAAAAATCAATCCAGAACAGTCGACTGTAAGACATAGCTTAGTAAGACAATTGAACTTTGAAAATAAAGACCCCTTTGGGTTTCCAAGCAGAATCAAAAAGTCACTTAAGAAAAGAAAATCAGGTTGGCACCAGACTTCTTGTCAGCAACAATCAAAGGAAGAAAGCAGTGCAACCACACTCGCCGTAAGCTTAAAGAAGGAGGGTAGGTAGAGGATTTATATCCAGCCAAGCTATTCTGCAAACATCAGTGCTGCCCAGGAGCCTTTCCTGGGCCATCTAGGCAAGGATGCACCTCATTGAACCGAGAGATGATGAAGGAAACAGCCAAAGAAGTGGTCATGAGAGTGGGACGCACTCAGCGTGGATCTCAGACTGACACAGGCGGATGAGTAGTCTGCAAATACTCTTTGCTAAGTCAAAGTCACACCAAAAAAAATGAGAAGAAACTTGGGAAAAAAGAGAAAATAGAATATACTGCTTGATTGCTGCAAAGTTAAGGGGTAGAAGTGAAAGGAAATTGTTTAAAGTTGACTAAGAAGATTAAATAAAAGTATTAAAATAAGGCAATAATTTTTTTAAATATACATCTTTTTAAACAAAAAAAATACAAAATAAAAGAGAAATTTAACTAAAAAGCAAAGAAAATAATCTACTTAATGAAATACACAGTATATATGATTCTATGTTATAAAAGATCAAACATCCATCGTACTGATAAATGTAAATAGGCTTAACTTGTCTACTTAAAAAAAATTTTAGATTGGCTGACAAATCAAAACCAGAATATGGAATATTCTTCAAGGCAACTGATTTAATTTCTTCCAAAAGTCATTGTCGTTCCTCCACATTTTCCTGCCCTAAGTATTTGCCAATATCATCTTCGTTCCTGTTCATACAAAACACTTGCAAAATAAATGGTTAATCCCTCAAATCTTACTATTCCTCACTCAGTTCTTCCAAAGCAATTTAGCATTGGATGTTTATTAAAGTAGAGGAAAAATTAGCAAATGTTGGTTTCTAAGGAAAAAGAAAAGAAAACCCATTATATAATGCATTTAGTCTTAACTACAAAGTGGTTGCAGGCTTTCTCTTTCCATTTCCTACTGAATTGCGTCAGCTTTTTAAGACTGAATTTAAAAGACCAAAAAATAAACCTCTCGGGAAAAGATATCTATTTAGTGAAGATTGTTTCAGTCCCTCCATTTCCTTGCTGTCTAATCACAGACAAATCACTGACGGCAACCTCTTCCAGGAGTCTGCATCCTCCCTACGTTGCAGTGAATAAAAATTAAGCTATTTTAAAAGCCATTCACAAGCAGTATCCAGTACGGCTACTCACAACCGTATCTTATAGAACTGTTACCGACTTTTAGGTTACATAATATTGCCAAATGGAAAAGTTAGACTATATAGGTAGGAGAAAGAAACAATAATAATTAAATCAGCCAAGGTCCCACACGACACTGTTGCAAGTGTTTCCATATATGGTCACGTAGCTGCTCTCTCACCACCACGGAAAAGAAACCTGCACAGCAGCCACCACCCCTGCGGGCAGCCGGAGGCCCCTTGTCCAGCTCTGGGATTTGAAGGTGAGATGAACAGTGGTGTTGGGAGGGACGGGATCGGCGTGGGAAGAGTCAGAGCAGAGACTGGTTGCATCACGGGCACTGACACCCGGGGGCCTGAGTCCAGCTATCACCAGGCCGGAGGGTTAAATACAGAAAGAAAAGGTACCCTTGGATAAATTGTGCTCTTCTTAGACTTTTATTAGGAAGTCATCTGTAACCTCCTAGTTTTCTGTTTGTATCAGAGAATCAGAAACAGAAAATATATTCTCTAAAACATTAGCACCTATGATTTTTCACATGACGAGTAATATATGTACAACGCCAAAAAAGATTAGATGGTACAGAAAAGTACAAACGAAAAGAAGTCCAAACCCCACACTTATCTTGCCCAAACACTACATCATTTTTACATCAACGAATCATTTTAACGTGTTTTTAGTAGCCAATAGAACAGACCCTTAACTGAAAATTTCAGGCCATTACCTCTAGAGCCAACGGACCTTCCTCCCTGCTTCTCCTCGGTTAGGCTCAGCTGGGATTGGTCCTGAGCTGCAACTTAGTCACAATTCTGTTGTATGATGTCTAAGTATTAAGTATTACACATTGACTGTTAATGTCTAGGTATTAATTGCGCCAGCTAAAAAAAACTAATTGTTATTAAATATCCAGCTTTCACAACTATAAAATCTTTCTTAATTCCACATATTTCTATCTGGATTGGGCTGGATGATCCTTGAGTTTCCTTCCACACGAAAATGTAGTGATTCTCCGAAAAGTAATATAGAAAAAATCTAAGACACATTGTAAATAAGTTAGCTTTCTGTGAGATTTTCTTAAGGTTATCAGAAAATCAAGTCAGACTTTCTCTTCCAGTGCATTTGACATTTGCTCTTCCAGGCTAAAGTCAGTTATTATGCAAAAGCAGATTCTTAATAATTGATGTTGTTTGCTTTGAATGTGATTACTCATAGAAAGCTGGAGAAATGAATCAATACTTGCTTAGCTTCCCCAAAATAAGTCAGAGATCACTGTTAAAGTGATGCATGTTAATTTCAGGCTGTCAGATTAATTTCCCCACACCTCCTTATGCTACAAGAGTCTTAATTGAGAAATAATGAAGGCTGCTTTTTCCTACTACAGGTACTGCTGAGCCACTGCTCTGAACAAAGTCATTTAATGCCTTTGATGTCTGCAATTTAAGGAACACCAGAGAAAATCTACAGAGAGTTAATTACAGTGTGCATTCGTAAAGGCCTTTACAGTTTGCAAAGGGCCTCCATTGTTCTTCCTGCAAACCCTCTGTGCTCCATTCTGCCTGGGGTAACCTAGGCCTCCCACGGAGCTATTTCAGTGCTGTGCAGAGCCCTACAGTGTCCAGGCCCGGGTTCCATGCTTTAAGAGGATCACTGACTGATAGAGTGCCTCAAAAGAGAAAAGCGAGGGATGAAGTCTATGGAAATTATAATGAGAGGAAATAACCTAAAGAAAAGAAGAGGGGTTGCCATAATAACTGACGGGTTCTTCTCTCATTCAAATGTATGTTATACGATGAGGGTTTAATTTTGTATCTTGTGGGGGAATCAGACGGCAGAGTCAACATGGATGACTGGCAATTGCAAGGAGGCAGATAAGGTTTAACCTAAGAATCTTGACCATAGAAAGGGCTGCCTTAGTACCAGCGATCTTCCTGGTACTAAGCATCCTCTGAGTACCACTTATCAGGGTGAGGGCAGTTCTCTGAAGCTCACCGTCTCAGGCTTTCAAGCCTGCAGGATATGAGGAAGCCTCTCCTTCCTGGTCTGGCCCACGCCTTGACTCTTATTGTCACCGTGAGATGGACATTTCAAAACTCGAAAGACAGAGACTTGTCAAAAGACCTCACAATCCCCTTTGGAAAACATGCCAAGACATGCTTAGGAATTACCACTGCTATCCTACAGAGCTGGCCACTTCTAGGGTACAGGCCAGGCAGCTGGAGAGCAGGTGTGAGACCACGGGCATCAGTCCCCCTTCTGAAGTTGAGCAGGACCCCTGCACTCACGCACAGCCCGCCATGCTCGGTCCATCAGTCTCTTCCAGCACCAGTGTATAATATTCAGTCTGCACAACACTCTGATATGGTGAACTCTTGAAGAGCTGAAACTGTTCTATTTATCTTGTAACTCCAAAGCTTACCCAAGTGTTGGCATTTATTAGATACTCAATATATGCCTAATGGGGGAATAAATATATTCCATTTCAAATAAGCATCGCCTCAGTGCAGGCACTCTATCAATGGCAAGATATACAGAATTAAAATAAGACACAGTCCCTGCCTTTAAGGAGTGATGGATAATCAGCAGAATAAATACATGAGTGAGTGAGGCAAAAACTCGGGTGGAGTTTTGCCTTTTCAGATTCCTTTCCACTCTAAGATTCTATAAATCCATATTCCTTTCCTCAATAAAAATCGCAAGAGCAGAAAAAGTGGCCATACTGTAGTAGGATTTTCCTTGGTTTTCAGTCTACCACGGGCAGTACAGCTGAGCTGCCAGCAAATCAAATAACTTGAGGACTCAGTCTATAGCGAAAACATGAGATTCTTTTAATTACTTTGAAGAGTTGGGGAACAAAAGGTCTTGGCATAAATTTGTGTCAAAACAATACAGAAGGTACTTTCTCATGTTAAGAAAAAAAGGCTTTTGGCCCCGGAATTTGAAGTGTATGATAATTTTCTCTACGTACTAATTGAAGAATTCAAACTATTTCATTTATATTAAAAATTATAACATACTGATGCAATGTTTACTCGCCACTTAACATATATTAGCAGATTTTCTGTTCATTTATGGCATATTCACCTTTATCGTTCCTTTTTTATGGAGGACAAGACGGGACAGAGAGGGTAAGTCACTTGCCGTAGATCATGAGGCAGAAAGGGGCAGACATGAGCAGTGAGCGCCGGAGTCCACGGGCACAACCCTTGACTGCCCTGACTCTTACATTGTAGTAACATTTTCCTACGGCGGGATAAGAATTTTATTTCCTACATTGTGGTAGCACTCTTTTTGCCAGCGGCCTCATATCATAGAACCAGTGGTCCACGGTTAGTCTCACTCTGATGAGGGAAGGATCACTCATGCCTCCACTTTGAGCAGAGCTAAACAAAGCAATGAAACACAGCCCATTAGCAGGAAAACGTGGTCGGTGTTCTAGCCCCTAAGTCAGTTCCTCTGGTATTACTTATGCAAACCCAGACAAGTCACCCTCTCTGCCCCATTCCCCACTCCCATGTCCAAAAGGACACAGTTGTGTTAAATAATAACTGATTATTTGATCCAATAACAATATATTACTCTATACGTTCACACACACACACAAGCCAACAAGCCAAGTGTTTTTCTAAATCATTTTGCTCTACTGAGAGTTAAGATACTTGCTCTGAAAACAAGGTAAATTCCATTTTGGAATTGAATGATCTTTTATTCACTTAGTTTCACACATACCCAGTTTTTCAGTTAGTGCCCTAAATAGTTAATTGGGACTATTTAACAGATTGTATACATGCCTGCTGAGAGTAATTGCATCCTAGCAACGACTGAAGGAGTCTTTACTGAACTTGCTGATTGGTTCATGGTTTGCTAAAGAATGACCTCGTCCCCTGCAGCAGAATTCGGGTGGGGGGAGTGAGGCAGAAGCTGAAGTGCCACGGACTGCAGAGGGTGAAATCCATTCATATTCTTTTGTAAACAAATTAACAGTGAGTTGCTGGTGTGTTTTCATCCCACAAAATCACCTTAGCAACACGGATATAAAAACAGCATGCCGGTGTGGACATGACACCACTTGGCACGCCATGCTGTGGTAGGCGTCCCACATATAAAGTAGAGGAAGATGGGCACGGATGTTAGCTCAGGGCCAGGCTTCCTCAGCAAAAAGAGGAGGATTGGCAGCAGTTAGCTCAGGGTTAATCTTCCTCAAAAAAATAATAAAATTTCAAAAAAATTTTTTAAAAAAAGCATGCACTCTCCCTCGGAGCTCCAGTCAGTCCCAGCATAAGGAGTCAACAACAAATGGGACTGGCAAGATTCTCCACTGATTTTAATCTTTAAAACAAGTGTCAGAATTTCCCTGAAACATTATAGATTCCAGAAAATAATAGAAAGGAGCTAAACTTCCATTATATGTAAAATGACTTGTTATTTTGCAAGAGGGCTTTATTTGGCTTTTTTATTTTTCCTGACATGGCAGGAAACAGATGCACTCCTTGCTTGACCAAGTCTAAATTAATTTTAGCATGAAAAGAAAAGGAAGATATATTTCCAAGTAATTAGGCTAGGTTAGTCTGAATTGCGGGCTCCCTCATCGCTGATTATAGTTAAGTTTTATTCTTCTGTGTTTGAGGAATATGAGCCCTGGAAAATCAAGAAGGTTAAGGCCATACTGCAGTCTGGAGTCCACTCAAGTACCTGGGGCAGGTGAGGCCCGGGGCAGGTGGGGCCTGGGGATGGTGGGGCCTGGGGGTGGTGGGGTTCAAAAATAAGTCGTAGGAATTTCATGTTTACGCCATTAGCAGAGGGTTTGTCCTGATAGCCAAAGTTTACAAAAATTTAGGCTATCAGGAGAAAAAGCATTCTTTACAGGTGTTCATCATTATTCCTCTCAAATTTGCAAGTCCTTGAATTTTCATTGCTGCATCTGAACTAATTTCTAGTTATTAGTTTCTATATTTAAAAGTTTAAAAAATATTTTTAATGACGAGATATTATGAGCCATCCTTTCCCATTTTCTGTCTTGCGTTGGTGTGAGGAGAATCCGTGCTGGCCTCCCAGCTAGAGAGAGGATTTCACAGCAGGCGGCCCTGATCCACCCACTCCCACCCCACAGTGTAAAACCCATCTTCAAAATACAGAGCCCAGGATTTTCAATGCTTGGAAGAAATGCGAAGAGTAAAAACTCTTGGATGCTACAGGTGTCCTTGGAAATTGGAAACCAATTGATGCTACAGACCAAGAGCCTACAAGTCTCGTAAGATGAATCCAGTATCTTAGGTTAGGTTCCCCAAGGAACAGATGGAGACAGAAGGTTGTAGGCAGGAATTCTATTAAAGAGTGCCTTTGGGATTAGCATCTGCGGGGGAATAAAAAAAACAGAGCTGGGTGGAGGGAAAAGTTGAATTGCAACATGGTTGGTTGCATGGGGGCCTCAGCAAATCGCATAGGGAGCCCTGAGTCTTGGATGGCTCTTCAGAGATTACCCAAATTGACTTTTATACCATCCCCAGCAGCACCGTCCCACATGGAGCAGGTACTGGATGTGAGCAGCTGTTGGGGAGGAGAGCTAACATTGGGCAAGGCAGCTCGCTTCTACCGATGCAATTCCTAGGGAACGACTGAGCTCTACACCGGTATCAGCCACCCTCACAGCTGCTGGGGAAGGAAGGGCTTGGTCCTGACATGAGGATCTGGGTGGCACAGGACAGCATCTACAAACAAAACTTAAAGTCTTGCTAGTGAAAGCATTCGTCTTCTGGGAACAAAACCTCTAGACCTGCAAAGCCTATCGTTGCAGAGTCAGAGGCACAAGTTCTTCAAGTGAATCTCTGAAAGTGATAGGGAAAGGAGCCACTCTATTTACATCTTCCATCTACGTGGAACCAGCACTATATAATGATCACTAATTTAGGATGCATCCTGTATCCTAGAGGATGGCAGCCCATCTTCACAAGGTATCACCTCCATGCTTATGCTTCAGCGATGCCTGCAGAAGGTGATCCCATCATTCTGTACGTCTGGCAGCTTTTCAGTGGTATGGTCTCTTATAAGAATGGTGTGTTCCATTGTCATACGTCCACTGCCACACCTCTCTTGCTTTACAGTGGCCCATGGTCTGATGTATTGTCAGGTGGGATACCATGTCTGTGGATCAAACATTCTGTAAACATTGGAGATGGCTGGGGCCCTACCTACATGTGGGAAATTCAAACCCATACCCGGCATAGGTGCTGACTCCAGTAAAGATAAATTGCTGCCTCTTCCAGATGTAACTGACTTGCCAACAAGTGATGAGTTGGTCTCCTTGGGAGATGGCGCCCCAACAGGTCTCAGTTTTGTTCTTCGATGCTGGCTGGTTGGCCATCTGATAGAGAAGTAGATAGATCAGCCACAGTGCCTGTGAGCCCACGATGTTGGTTGGACCCAGGCATAGCCTCCATCCTGGACATGGTAGGTACTCTGTTCATGCTCTCACTGTGCCAGCACTGCAGTGGCTAATGACAGAGGCTGGCTGTCATGTGTCTGCCCGCAGCAGACAGAGTCATTCTATGAGGCTGTCAGCGCTTCTTTCATGGTAGATGCTCTGTGGTGGGCATTAACAAGTTAGACAGAGACCATCACACTGTGCTCACTCCCATCGGTCCATCACACGCTTCTTCCTCAGACCGAGCTGTCCCCTTCCTGAGACCCAATTGCTCCCTAAATTTCAGTCTTTCTCCTTCCCCAGCTCTGATCAAGCAGCCACACCACCTGCTTAGAAGTGCACGTACAGTCTTAGCTTGGGCCATTTGTCTTTCCATTTAAAGTAGACATCCCGGTGTCTGATGCTCTGTCCATGAGAGAATCTTCCCTCATTGCTGTCATTCAGGCCACAGCTGAATGGGACTGTCACACAGCCATGGTCCACTTGCAGCTTGCAGCTTGTATGTAAATGTGGAGATCACTCACCCATGAACCAAAGCTAGCCTTTTTCCTTCTCTATCAGCTGATCAAAAGGCATTGGGTGTGAGCTGAGAGAGAGGCACAAATGTAACTGGTGGATGGCCAGTGGATCTGGGCCACTGTTTATGCAGCTTATTTGTGCTGTCTGGCCCTACCCATGCCCAATCCTGGATGTGCATTCTAATGATAGAATGCTGCCAGGATAGGATGCTGCTGGGCTCTCTCAATCTTATGTCTTCAAGAAAGTGAGCCTAAGAAAACCCCGCTTATGATGGACAGCTCTGACACGGTGGACCATACAGTCACTCAGTATCGTACGGAGAGCTGCTCTGTCTCTATCAGGACCCAGTAGCAAGCCAGGAGCTGTTTTGAAAGATGTATAATTCTCTACTGCAAATGGCCTGGGTTTGTTCCAGAACTTAAGGAATTTCATTTTGATTTTTCTAGTGGGGCTTACCAGACACTCCATGTGGCATCATTTCCCACCACCGATACCTCTACGTCTTTAGGGTGGCACTACATCTTTAGGTACGTCTCTGCCTTTCCTCCTGGGCTGGATATTGTTTTCAACTTACGGTATTAGCAGATGCGGGCCGTTTCAGCAGCTTCCACCTGGCCTTCCCAATTAAAAAGCTGTTACCCCATATGCCTAGAACTCAATACTGAGGTTCTTACAATTACCTCGTGTGTCCATTCCAGTTGTCTGTTTAGGGGAGTGATGAAATTACCGGTAGGGGGCATATGGACCAGGGCCCTACTGCGAACCAGACCTGTGATGGGACTCCATTTATCTCTTGGCTCCTGTATGGCCCTGTTCTAACACAGAGTCCGGAATGATACTTTTGGTCCCTGGATGTTAATGTTATGTCAAACCCCATGTTCAAGAGTCATTAAAATGTCTCAATTTTCTCATTCTCCTAGTAAGAGTTTATCCAGGTAATTTGCCACAGGTGCCTTTGAGAAAGAACTGGAGGAATCATGACCATGTCCACTCATAGTCATGTCTCAGGACACTTCCTCCAGGGGACCCGGCCTCTCCTTCCATCAATGACTTCTGGGTCAGAAAACTAACTCCAG